TTCTTAGCTCGCCAGAACCGCGTGGGAGGAACAAGAGGATGAGACTGGCACCTTCCTGAGGAATTCACACTGTTGTGGCTGGGGGACTTTTGGAACTGGGGGTTTATTCTGGGGAGATTCTTGCTAGAGGTTGTAGCTAGTAAACATAGCTGGACTGAATTGGCATTGTCTCTTGGAGTTCCTTGGGCTAGGCCTGACATCAGTCAAAATGTTTGTCTCCCTGAGCTTGGCCTTCATAATTCCATTCCATCACACCAGCTGGACTATTGCAATGCACTCTACATGGGGCTGCCCTTGAAGACCACTTGGTATTTGCCTGTCCAACTAGGCTGAATAGAGTGGCATACTCCAGATTTCTCCCCTCAAATGTTGCCATCTAGTGGGACCTAGGAAGCATGCCTTTTCCATAGTGGCCCCTGCCCTGGGGAACACCTTCCCCCTTGAGATCCGGCAGGCCCCCACCCTCTTAGCTTTATGGAAAGCCGTTAAGAGCTGGCTTTTCCTCCCAACCACTGGGAGAACAAGGTTGGAGCCTAGGGGACTGCTGGATTGTTGACGGAGAGCCAGGATTTTTCTTGTTTGTTTGTTCTATTGTTGTGTTTTTATTATTGCTGTTAGCCACCCAGAGTTGTGTTTCACAAGATGGGCAGCTATACACATCTTTTAAATAAATAAATAATACTCTTTTCTCCCTTTAAAGTCCAAAGCTCTAGAAATCCATAAGCAGACAAGCCTATAAACATGTCAAGTAGACTCAGAGAAGCAAAATAAAGAGGCTATAGTTCTGGGGCATCTATAACTTTTCCTTCAAATCCCATTCTTGCAACCACATTCCCATTCTTATAAGCACCTCAGAAGGGATGTGCAGGCATCTCTGAGCTTCTCTTTTAAATTCTTTTGGATGAATCCACTTTCTAATATGTTCGTGACTTCTAAATGTTTAGCATATCAGTTTGGTTAGAAACATTGATCTTAGTGATCATTGTTCAGTCTGTTGTCATTCTTGAATAGGTCTGTGGACCTGTGTCTTGAGTTCTTGAGTATCCATTTAACATAATTCAGCCACAGGTTTAGCTTCCAGTTACTGGGTTTAATATGCATTGACTTCACTTTAATTGTGCAATTAACAATAGTAAAAAGCCTGCTTTACTACAGTATTATATTACTGTACTGTATTATTCAAGCTGTTTAATTCCATATGTGAATTGGGTTGCTCATTTTCCTAAAAATAGAGTTGCCACATCTACGTCAGGCAGCCATTAGATGCCAGCAAAAAGAGACTGTATAGAAAATACAGACATTCTCTTCTATGAGATACAGGATATAGTAGAAAGCTCCATCTTTTTGCTGCCATCAAGTGGTCACTGGCATTGTTGCAGTCCAGATATAGCAAATCTAGCCTAAAAGTAATCACTTGAAAAAGCTTGTGTTTTCTGTACTTGCAAGTGCAATCATTAAACCAATTCCCAAGCTTGAAGAAACAATTGCGTGTAAGAGGGTTTTTTTCAGAGTTGTTGAATTTTATTGATTAGTCAATTGACCTTATCAATACAGCAAGATAAAAAACATAAAACATAATCGAAACTGTAAAAAGAATACATGAGACATATATGTATATGTGATCACAGTACAAGGAGACAATTATCAGATGAGAGAATCACCTTTACAGGATACCCCAATTTGTTCTATATAATGGGATCTTAAAGTCCCAGCCTTCAGTATAAATATGGCAGTTCTGTGCACAATATATGTATTGGTGCCCTGAAGAAAATAAGACAGTCTAAAATTCAGGTCCCAGTACTCTAATAATGGGGATGAATATTTAAGCCTGATGGATGCATATAATTGACAATTAAACAGAATATGAAAAATATTTTCGATATCAGGTGAACCACATATGCAGGTTCTTTCATTAAATGGGATATTATAGAAGCATCCATATTTGGCCATTGAGTCCAACAGCTCAAATCTTGTTCTGGTAAAAGCCCTTCTTAAAAACTGAGGCAAGCTGATAAATAGGTATTTTTTGGGTTGAAAGTTTATTTTGTTAGTAGCCAACCACCTTAAACATCTACTTTTGGCTGTAAGTTCCAAGTCAGTTTGGGCACTTTATATCCATAACTCCCTGCTTGAAAATTTCCCTTGCTTGGGGGGCCCTAAGTAATAGGGCTCTGCTGAATACAGAGCCCATAACATGAGATAATGTCATAAAATTGGCAAACCCATGTGTTAGGCAGTGACATGCTTAGCTGTTCTGTAGGGCAAATTCTAGAAAGTCTATTGGGGTCCGTTGTTTGAATCTTCAGCAAATATGTAAAAACTTTAATCATTAAATGGCTGTTTAGAGGATAAAGCCTAATTCTGCTCTTACTGCTGAGACGTGTTCTTATCCATTCCTAGAATATGCCTAGAAAGGGACACAGTGGCACAGCGGCTTAATGACGCTGGAAGTTGCCGGCCAGAAATGGTCAACACTTCAGTGGTTCGAGCCCAAGCTCCGCGCAGCAGGGTGAACTCCCATCTTGCTCCCTCAGCTCCCGCCCACCTAGCAGCTCGAAAGCATAAGCGAGTAGATAAATAGGTACTCTCACCCTGGTGGAAGGAAAAACACTGGTGGCGCCTTGCACGGGAAAACGGGAATTGGTTGCCGGTTGCTGGACTCAACGCAATGGAAGAGACTTGATTTCCTGCGACCGCCAGCTGGGCTCCGCCCTAGGAAGGAGGCAATGGCAAACCACTTCGAAAAAACCTTGCCAGGAAAACTGCAGGGACTCATCCAGGCAGTCTCCGTAGAATCAGTCACGACTAAAAGCGGATAAAAAAAAGGAGAAGAATATGCCTCAGGAAGCGCGTTTGGATTTGTTCCAGTGGGGTAGCTTCATTTAAACCCCACAGTTCTGCTCCATAAGTCATCATCAGAATTATTTTGGCCCTAAAGACTTTCAAGATAGCTGTCAGGGTGCATGGTTCGTTATGGTAAAATAATTTGAATAACTTTTTAGTGCTTGCCTCATCCCTTATCGCACCTCTTCTAAGATGATTTATCCACGAACCGTTGCTGGTGAAAGTCATTGCGTGTAAGAGTTATTGGATAGTACGTGCCACTCGGAATATACTACAATGCAGTCATGTTGACTTTACCCTAACGTATATGTTAAATTTAGTTTCCTATTTGGATAGCTCGTCTTTCTTTCATAATTATTTCTAAGAAGTTCTTTAGTAAAAGACCACCTCTTTAAAAATCCCCACCGACTTTTCTATATGCAATGAAATTGTAATGGTAAATACCATTTTCCCCTTCACACAGTAGATATGGCTAACCAGCATTCCTGTGGTGTCTTTCTGCAGGCCTGTGAAAGAGATCTGCAGTGTGGAAGTGGGACGTGTTGTGCCATCAGCTTGTGGCTACGCGGGCTCCGGATGTGCACTCCATTAGGGCGCGAGGGAGATGAATGCCACCCTATTAGCCATAAGGTATTTGTAAGTGGCCTCAACTAGCTCACAACATGTAGCACTAATTGTCTTTAATGTTGACAAATGTCTTTATAGTGATTTGCTGATATACATCAGCTGCTGGAGCAAGTGAACTTTCTACAGGCTTTATGTTATTTATTCACTTGTTCGTTAAAATATTTATATCCCAGTTTGCATTTACAGATTCCCAAAGCAAAATGGCATTTGAGCATTAGTTGAGAACTCCATTTTCTATAACTAAACACTGTTTTGTTCTGTTGGGATGAATTATAGAAACAAAGCAACAGTAACATTGTCTGCTGCACAACTAAGCTGGGAGGGAGGTAAAAAACCAGAATTCTTAACTGAAGTTAAGTAGCTTCACACAACAATTAATTCTCTTTTGCAAGGAAAGAAGACTTTTAAGAAAGCAGGTATCAGCATAGCATTAGTTTCATATGAAAAAGTGTGGCCATTTATTTCTCCCTCATGAGATAACTTCACACGTTCTTAAGTCTCCAAGGGAGAAGTGGGCCACAACATTTTCCCCCTTTGTCTGAGGCCTCCTTGTAGTTCCTCATTATCTCAGAACTTTCTGGAAAGCAGCAGGTCCTGGGTCCATTCCACATTATATTTTAGAGTTTAGGTCAGTGTTTTTCAAACTTGGCAACTTTAAGATGTGTGGACTTCAACTCCCAGAATTCCCAGACAGTATTCCCAGAATTCTGGGAGTTGAAGTCCACACATCTTAAAGGTGCCAAGTTTGAAAAACACTGGTTTAGGTTGATTAGACCATATAAATCAGAATAACATCATTTTGCTTTTATTAAGGATAAAGGCTATTTTATGGGATTTTTTGTACACTTAGTTGCTTACCTTACTTGAATGCAAAGTTTATTATTAATACTCTTTATATTTTATATTTTCTCTAAAAGGTCCCTTTCTTCGGAAAACGGCAACATCACACCTGTCCTTGTTTGCCAAACTTCATATGTTCTAAATTCACTGATGGCCGATACCGATGTTCAGTAGACTTCAAGAACATGGACTTTTAATGAAAAGTGCTTTGTGGCCCTTCATACCTTTATATCTCCACAGCATGTTAAAAAGTCTTGAAGATAATTAAATGTCAGTTTACACAGATGACTTAAATGGGGCAGTCAGCAATTAGTGATTTCTCAACATGCAGATATTGTTCCTATAAAACAGATTAAGAGATTCCAGAGCTGGGATTAAAAATATAAACTTGCAGAATGACTAATGTGAGCTGGGTATATTCTTGTAGTTCTGGAAGTATCTTTATTTATTCCAGAATACCTTTTTATTTTAAAGCAGGTGGTTGTCATTAGTATTTTTGGATAGATAGAGTTTGTTCTCCTCACCTTTCCTACTCACAGTTCAATCTCAATGTGCAAAATCACTCATGGAAGGATTGTATGTTTTTCTGCCGCACTGAGGAAACTTTGCCAGCTTCAAAGGGGTTTGTTAACTTTTTTCCCATGCAGCTCTGACCCTGTGAAACTATGTGTTTCCAGACAGATATTAGAAAATGCTTAACCTCTCATAGTGTTGGGATATTGTGGAAAGTCAAGAAGTCCTTGAAAGCAGAACATAACCTAGGATCCTTAATTTCCTGCAGTTTGATTAAAAAGTTAAATTACCACAGAAGGTTTTGAGGAAGGAAAACAATCAGATTGACAGTACAAGAGAAGGTAGACCTCTCCTTCCTAATGAACTTTTCCTTCCTGTTGCCATGGGTTCTGTGGAAGAAAAACGTATAGGTGTTTTCCCTTGATGTGGTCTTGATCAGATTGATTTACCACCCACTCCTGAGTGCAATTAATTTTTTTTTATATTATTCCTATTTCCTATGACTTTCAAGCTAATGCTTTGCATAGCCATAATTAACCTGAATGGCTGTTTCAGGCAAGGGAAGAGACCAAACTTGTGCTCCTTGGACAAACAAACAAACAAACCTTAAGAATTTTGGATCTGAACCCTCCTGATGTGGGATTCCATTCCTCTCCTGAAGCTTGGCAAGTGTTTTAGTTGTTTAATGGTTACTGGATACCTTAAAGCAAAATCAGTCCTTTAAACCAGTGTTTCTCAATCTC